GGTTAATGATGCTTTTATATAAATTACAACTAGAATTCTGAATTTACTTTAAGAAGGAACAATTGATGGTAATATTATAAAACCTAAATTTTTAACCTCTAAAAAGAGTGATTAAACATAAATTACATAGTAATGTAATTGCTGACAACTTTTTTTGTTATAAATACCTAAAATTTGTCTAATCAAATATAACTAAAATATATGTAATTATATTTTAATATTTCAATAAAAAAATAGATAAGATGGGCTGTCTCTTCTTACATATAATTATATATATATATATAATATATCATAACTGATATCCTACTCAGAGGTTTTCAACGTTACCACCTTCATCTTCAAGTTCTGAGGTCCATAATGTCAAGTTATCTCTGATGAGTTACATAATGGTTGTGGCATCCTTGTATTGGTCTTCTTAGATTTATTCAATATCGGCAATGGCATCATCGAAAGCCTAAAGATGATTAATTAAAACTATTACTGATTTAGCTAATTAGCAAGCCTTGGCGGCATCATTCAAAACTTCATAATAGAAAACTGAGAAATTCAAAGCAAGTCCTAATCTAATTGGGTTTGTTGTCTTTAATTCAGAGTTAGCAACTTAAGAAGCAGCTTAATAAGCAGCAAGTGCTCCATCAGCAGCCTTCTTGTGTTAATCACCTGTGGCATATTCAGAAATGTATCTGTGATAATCTCCTTTCATCTTGTGGAAGAACACCTTGGCTTCTGGAGTAGAGGCTGTTTTGATTAAATGGCTATCGATCAAATTAAGGATATCATTGCAATATTGATTAAGCTCTTCTTCAATCTTCTTCTTGTAGCTTCTGATCAAAACAAGATTCTTTTAGGAAGCTGGTTAAGATTAAGCCTATGAAATTAATTAATTTATATACCTTTCCTTCTTCTTTGTTTTCAATACTTGATAAAACTCTCCAAGCTGTTCTTCTTCCGCCAATACTGTTTTTATAAGCAACAGAGAGAAGATTTCTTTCTTCGATTGACAATTCTTATCCATTCTCAACAACTTATTTGATGTAATTGACCATATCTTCAAATCTCTCGGTTTATTCTGTCAACTTTGTCATGTAGATAAGTTCCTCTCTAGTGCTCATTTTGGATATTTAAAATTTAAATTTTTTAATTATTTCCAGAAAATTAGAAGTCCCTTAAATATCATAATTCGCACTAAATCCAAAATTATTTAAATATATAATATATATAGTAATATTGTATTTCTATGTCTAACGATCTAATATTTGATCTAATATTATTCATGCAAATAGAATCAACATCTATCTGTCATATTCTGATGTATATTATATTCAATATCTTAATTATATATACATAAATACTTCAAAATTAAAAAAAGATATTTTTTCTAATTATAAGACTATAAAAATAGAAAATGATTAGATTCTCTTTCTTAAATTATACAAACCAAATATTATGATATATAGAATTTAATATATAGAATTTTATGAATATTTTAGAGAAAATATAGAAATGTATCAATTAATATGTACTTATATACTTGTTTTTATTGAACATATTATAATAGGTCTCTCCTTATAATATATTACTCATAAACAGAATGATGTAAGATATAAAACTGTTTAATTAGATAAATAAAATTATAAAAATGGAATAATTTAATGGAAAACCTTAAGTATATTATATATCTAATAATAAAGGAAAATATTCTAATTACATAACCATTAACTAAATAGAAGTACTCAGCTCTATTTCATGATGAGAGATTTGGAAAGGATTTTGAAACAAATTACTCAAAACTTTAGGAAATTATGGATGTAAATTTATGTAAAGAAAATTTTAGAACTTGTAAGGGAAAGTTGAATAAATAGTAAAAAGTTAAGAAGATGATTTTATGAAAGCATATAAAGATCAAATGAATGAATTGTAAATTGATTTGAAGGCAATGAAAAGAAAAATTGATGAAGAGTCTTTAAAATAAAAAGCTGATGAGAAAAAACGAATTTTAGAAGAAGAAAGAGATTATTTTAGACAAGAAGCTCTAAGACTGGATAATTTGAATAAAGAATAATTGAGAACAATTGAAGAATTAAAGTTCAAGTTAAAAATTACAATAGAAGAAAAAAATTATTATGAAGGTTTTGTTATAGGTACAGCTTTATTTTGATGTATAAGATTCAAAGAAAGAAAACAAAGCTTTAAAGTTTGAACTATTGTAATTATATAAATAAAAAATGGAAGATTAAAAAGCATTAAATAAAATATAATAAAAATCATAAACATAGTAAATTACTAAATTAAATTCAAAAAAACAGTCCGATAATAGACCATAAACATAAGAAGGAATAAGATCAGAAGGTAATTTATTCATAAAAGATGATGTTAATGCTGAATTTCTTAGAAGAGAATAATCCTCAAAGGGAGGATTTAGATCATATCTATCAACTAAAAACAATGATTAAGCATCAACACAATTTGATTTTTTTAAACGAGAGATATCTACTTAATAATAGAGTAGATTTCATCCTGAAAATTAAATGGTATTCTTTTTTCTTTAATTTTAGATAGAAGAAAGAAATAATTAAATATCAGAACTAAAATAATTGTTATAAAAAGAAAAAAACTAATGTCAATAATTAAAATGTGAATTATAAAAATAGAATACTTAAAGAGGAGAATTAGAAGTAGTGTTATTAGATTGTGTAAATTATATTAAGAAAGATATTGCATCTCGATAAATAGTTTAAAAATAACCATTTTTGGGTAATACTAATAAAACACCAAAAATTGCTTAGTAGATTGCTTTTGAAGATATTGACTATAGATAATTTACTCATTAAGATAAAAAGTAATAATATCAACCTTATTTACTAAAGAGCACTCCTCAAAAAATTCCTAAGTTCTGAATAATTTTTAGATTAAATATATCAACTTACTTTTAATAGTCAAATGGCCAGTACATACAATTAAAACTTAATGAGAAATGGAAATAAGATGCAAATGATGCAACAAAGAAATTCAATAATTTTAAAATATACAAATTTAGAAATATTACTAGTTAACGTATTTATTTAATTAGAATTTTTAGCTATTATAAAATAAGTGATATAGAAATAAGAATCAAATATTTTAAATGATCTTCATGATCAAGTAGATTAAGATTAAGAACTAGTAGATCAAATTGTATAAAATTGATTCTTTTTATCAATGATTTTAATATTTTCAAATAAAAAACTGATTGATTATTAAATTAGTTCTTAATCATATAATGCTTAACTTATATGATTAAATTCAATTACAAATTATATATTTTATTAATTATATGAATCTATTAGAGAATTTTAATCTAATTTGATAATATTTAATATTTATATTTCGAGAATTATAAGGATGCAATTCGTTAATTATATTAATAATAATAAGAAATGAATGATTCTTCATGTTCGTGGGATACATGTTGTGATAGAGGTCTATTGAATTAAGGGGATTGTATGTGTGATTATGGATTTTTTGGTGATCATTGCGACTAATAAATATCTAAAATATTCACTCCCTAATACTATATTTTCATTGGATTATATTGTTTGGTGTTTTTATACACATTAATAAATGCAAGTTATTAACTTTATAATAAAATATTTGATAAAAACCTCACCATATAAGAAAAGTAAAAGTAAAATTAAAATAGATCTTAGATATCCATTAAACTATTAGTAGCATCTCCAATAAACATAATTTTAACATTATCTTGTTTATTTAGTTTAGTAAAATTGATTTGGTTAATATTGGATCCACTTTAGCTTTATGTAATTTATATTGATATAAAAGAAAGGAAAAACAATAATTATAGAGCATATTTTACATGATATTGCTTATACACTTTTATTCTATATTTATGGATATTTATTAATTACATGGTATTCAATGTATGCTGAAATATGTTTTTATTTATCGAATTAAGTAATTATATAAATCAATTCTAGGATTAAAATGATAATTATTTTAATAAAGAAAGCAATAATTGGATATGTTAACATTATAAAAAAGTTGTGAAATTGAGATTATTTTTAGTATTACTTGTTCAAACAGCAGTTAGTATATTTACAGGTAAATATTGATATTCATATATTGTATAGGATTAAGATTGGAAATTAAATACCCTCATTTTGCTGTTACCTGTTATTCTTTTCTTCTAATAAACTTTATTATATTTATTTTTGAATTTGCTTTATATGGGATCAAACTACAAAGGTGCATTCGATATTAACTCAATCAATTTTATAATGAAAAAAAAAAGAAAATACTCAATTTAATGAATATGAAGGAAGAATTATAAAAACAATTAGAATAAAAATAAACTGATGCATAATTTCAATCTAGTTTCTAAATTAAAAAAGTTGAAAATTCTCCATCTTAAAATTCTTCAAGAAGACCAAGCGTAGATTTGCCTTAAGTTCTAGTACCTAATTAAAAAGAAAGATTAAGAAAAAAAAATGTTACATTTTGCAAAAATAATTCAAGTTTTATGTATTATAGATAAGAGAGTCATCATAATATTAAAGTAAATCAAAACATAAAAGAAGTGATTGCTGAATAAACAGAAAATTCTGAAAGAGAAACTAATATAATATAAAATATCAATGAAAGTTGTTGTTTAGAGGAATCTATTAAATAAATTGATTGGATTTATGATTAATAAGATAAATAAATAATAGAAAATGTTATTTAGAAAAAAAATTAAGTTGTAAGAGATGCAAAAGAAAAAATTTCAGGTGATCAAGTAAATATTATTGTACCTTAAAAATAAAATAATAGAAAACAAGTGGATATAAGTAATTTGAGTGATCAAAGTTAAGATTAAACCTAATATACTTAAATTGGATAATAAATAGATGCTTTTGAATAATAGAAATATTTAGAAGAATAATAATTATCTTTAAAATCTAGTAGTTTAGAAGCTGATAAAAAAATTCTATAAAAAATAATGCTTTTAGTATCTTTAGGAATAACATATGAAGTGATATTTGGAATTATGTGTATAATTGCTTTAGTTAGCGAAGCAATTTATTCTACTCCAATTGGAACTATGGTTTATTATTATGTTTCTAGTACACTTTAATTTTTATCATTATTTAATGTATTAAAATTATTTAAAGACTTTCGTTCCTAATAAATTAAGAATTTTATTTGGATTTAAAAAATAGGAAATAAAAAGAGTGATTTGAATTAAAATTATTCATTTATAATACCTTAGGAATACAAACAAGATGATGATATGTTAAGAAAATTTGAAAGTAGAATAAATTTAATAACTTTATATTGATTTTATTTACTAATTTAAAAATATTATGAATAATAATAATCTATATATATAAAGTCAATTTTATTTAAATTTAGTGTCTTTGAAATAGTCTGTTCTAACTAATTTAATTAATTTCTAAATAATATAAATTAATAAAAATACTTCTCTTAATTCTTATTCTGTAATATCATTTCTTTCATATTAATCAAAATAAGATGTTAAAAAATCATCTTATGCAATAATAAATTCTTTTAATTGAATTTTTTCTTTTTCTGTTATAAATTTATTTTTAAACAATTCAGTTGTAAAATAAAGTTATTTAGCTGGTTATCTTTATAATTATTCCATTTTTTATTTTTTATATTTTATATTTTATATAATCATTTAATTTTATTTATTAACAAATAATTCAAATAATCAATTAAATATAATATTTATTCAATATTCAAATATCTTCTAATAAAATTTCTAAAACTTTTATAATAACTAATTCATCAGCAATTTGAATTATTTAATATATTAAACAATATGTATCAGATGTATTAATTATTAATTATTATTCTGATATTATTCTTAATTGATATTTAACATTATAAATAATAGAATTAAAATTACCTTAACAATTTTATTAAAATTAATATTAATACAAATCTTAAAGTTTATTACTTAAAAATTAACTTTTGATTATTTTATTTTAAAAACATTTAGCATAAACTTGAATAGTCAAAATTTATTAATTATTATTAACTAAAAGTGTTATGTTACCTTAACTAATTATTTTTTAATCAACTTCTAATAGATTAATCTCCATAGAAATCCTTTCATCTGATTTTAGATCTTTAATTTAAGTAATTTAGATTTATGAAAAAAGAATAGGAAGAGCTTTTATTAAGATTAATGAATACGATGAGTGCATATATTCTTGTAAAAGACCCATCCACTTGAACAAACAGTACATTCAGTTTTTAAAGGTCCTAGACATAGATCACAACCAGTAATGCATTTTGCAAGATATATATTAAAAGNAATATTTTAAATTTATGTTTTGGTATAAAGATTTAAATTTTAAAATCCTTTAATGATAAAGCAAAGGATTCTGTTTCTGTTAAACTTGAATTAAAATTATTCATTTATAATACCTTAGGAATACAAACAAGATGATGATATGTTAAGAAAATTTGAAAGTAGAATAAATTTAATAACTTTATATTGATTTTATTTACTAATTTAAAAATATTATGAATAATAATAATCTATATATATAAAGTCAATTTTATTTAAATTTAGTGTCTTTGAAATAGTCTGTTCTAACTAATTTAATTAATTTCTAAATAATATAAATTAATAAAAATACTTCTCTTAATTCTTATTCTGTAATATCATTTCTTTCATATTAATCAAAATAAGATGTTAAAAAATCATCTTATGCAATAATAAATTCTTTTAATTGAATTTTTTCTTTTTCTGTTATAAATTTATTTTTAAACAATTCAGTTGTAAAATAAAGTTATTTAGCTGGTTATCTTTATAATTATTCCATTTTTTATTTTTTATATTTTATATTTTATATAATCATTTAATTTTATTTATTAACAAATAATTCAAATAATCAATTAAATATAATATTTATTCAATATTCAAATATCTTCTAATAAAATTTCTAAAACTTTTATAATAACTAATTCATCAGCAATTTGAATTATTTAATATATTAAACAATATGTATCAGATGTATTAATTATTAATTATTATTCTGATATTATTCTTAATTGATATTTAACATTATAAATAATAGAATTAAAATTACCTTAACAATTTTATTAAAATTAATATTAATACAAATCTTAAAGTTTATTACTTAAAAATTAACTTTTGATTATTTTATTTTAAAAACATTTAGCATAAACTTGAATAGTCAAAATTTATTAATTATTATTAACTAAAAGTGTTATGTTACCTTAACTAATTATTTTTTAATCAACTTCTAATAGATTAATCTCCATAGAAATCCTTTCATCTGATTTTAGATCTTTAATTTAAGTAATTTAGATTTATGAAAAAAGAATAGGAAGAGCTTTTATTAAGATTAATGAATACGATGAGTGCATATATTCTTGTAAAAGACCCATCCACTTGAACAAACAGTACATTCAGTTTTTAAAGGTCCTAGACATAGATCACAACCAGTAATGCATTTTGCAAGATATATATTAAAAAGCTCTTATTCCCAAATATGCATTAGTAGTTATAGAATTATGATTAGTTCTCATAGTTATTTTACATTTAGATAATGAATGAGGTAAAGTAATTGCAATATTAATAATCTTTTCTAATCCATTAGATCCACAAATATTATAGATACCTGTAGATTCTAAAATTGTTTAATTATAAATTTAATCATCTATTTCTAAAATAAACATTTCATTATTCCATGAATCAATTTTCCAAATTTATAATTATACTTACATTTTATAATGACCATTCAAATTTTCTATTATTTTTTCTAATTTATCATTTGGTGCTAATTTTATTATATCAAAACTGACACATTTATCAATTGTAGGTTACATATTATTATTATTCTTAATCCATCCATCAACTTCTATTGATTCATGCCATAATGATAAAAAACCAATCCAATAATAACAATTATTATAATCATTATCTTAACAGTATAAACAACCTTAAGGACATCTTAAAATTTAAATTGAAAAATCTCTAAATCCCCAACTTTCCTTTTATATTAATTTAATATTACATCACCTGGTGATGAATCCAGACTTGTAGTCATAATAAAAATTAATGATTCTGAGTTATGATTAATAACAAATGTAATTAACTGACTCATCTCATTCCAGTCACTGTAATAAACTCCACATTATTGTGTCCCTTGATAATATATATAACCTTATGACCATTTATAATCTTCAGCTATTAAATAGACAAATTCAGCATTCCAGCTATCAATTCTATTTTTTATCTAAGAAATACTTCCAAAATTAAAAAGTAATTTTAAGTTGATGATGAGGAGGCAGTTTAAATAACTTTGATACTATTGCATCTTTTCCAAATGCATTATATCCTCCAAACAATGTAACACCATTACATTTAGTGAATAAATTACCCTAATAATTATTGCTTACTATCCAACCTAAATCATTAAAGATGAAAATAACCTTCAGCATCATTATGGTCATTACCTTTAAAGCTAGTGTAAATAGTTTCCCATTATTCTTATGCCATAGCAATATATATTAAGACTAAAATAAATAAATATAGTTTCATAATTATTAATTTAATTATTACTTTCTATTACCTTTAGTTGAATAATTTAGTAATTAATTTAAAGATTTTAAATAATTTATATCATTTAGATCCAATTATTTATGCAATTTTTTATAAATATTATTATTATTAATAAAATTATTAAAATTTGATTATTATCATTTTCCTTGTAGGCAATAGGTTGATATATAATTATTCATGCTCACTTAATATTTATGATTAACTCCTCATATTATTAACCAAGATTTTATAATAGTTAAAATAACGATTATATTTAAAAGATGTATTATTATTTAAAAAAAAGATTATAAAAATTAAAAGATATGATAACATCTTAAAAAATAAAGCATTATAATTTACAATTCTCTTGTTCTATTTATTCAAGGTTTTTAAAGGCTTTTTAGGCCAGGTGCTTTACCAACTAAACATAATCCACACACTAGACATAGTTATGAATAATCATTTTCATATGTACTCCCATCATAAGGACATGTTTTATAAATTGATAGATATTTAAGTGTATTTACAGAGTAGATAGGCTATTCATTAAGCCAATTTTCTTTAAAATCAATTTAAACAGCATTTGTATTTTATTATTATGATGCTTTTTCATACTAATTTTATACATTAATTATTACCTTTTATGCATTTTATAAAACTTCAGGTTTTTATGTTGTATCATTTTTTAACAATTCAATTAACTTTTTAGCTATCTATTAACATGTGATAAAGTTTTTCTGTTTGTAACTTATACTAAGAGCCTNGTAATTAACTGACTCATCTCATTCCAGTCACTGTAATAAACTCCACATTATTGTGTCCCTTGATAATATATATAACCTTATGACCATTTATAATCTTCAGCTATTAAATAGACAAATTCAGCATTCCAGCTATCAATTCTATTTTTTATCTAAGAAATACTTCCAAAATTAAAAAGTAATTTTAAGTTGATGATGAGGAGGCAGTTTAAATAACTTTGATACTATTGCATCTTTTCCAAATGCATTATATCCTCCAAACAATGTAACACCATTACATTTAGTGAATAAATTACCCTAATAATTATTGCTTACTATCCAACCTAAATCATTAAAGATGAAAATAACCTTCAGCATCATTATGGTCATTACCTTTAAAGCTAGTGTAAATAGTTTCCCATTATTCTTATGCCATAGCAATATATATTAAGACTAAAATAAATAAATATAGTTTCATAATTATTAATTTAATTATTACTTTCTATTACCTTTAGTTGAATAATTTAGTAATTAATTTAAAGATTTTAAATAATTTATATCATTTAGATCCAATTATTTATGCAATTTTTTATAAATATTATTATTATTAATAAAATTATTAAAATTTGATTATTATCATTTTCCTTGTAGGCAATAGGTTGATATATCATTATTCATGCTCACTTAATATTTATGATTAACTCCTCATATTATTAACCAAGATTTTATAATAGTTAAAATAACGATTATATTTAAAAGATGTATTATTATTTAAAAAAAAGATTATAAAAATTAAAAGATATGATAACATCTTAAAAAATAAAGCATTATAATTTACAATTCTCTTGTTCTATTTATTCAAGGTTTTTAAAGGCTTTTTAGGCCAGGTGCTTTACCAACTAAACATAATCCACACACTAGACATAGTTATGAATAATCATTTTCATATGTACTCCCATCATAAGGACATGTTTTATAAATTGATAGATATTTAAATTAGCATTAATAAAAAATGCAATATAGCCAATTTGATAAGACTTATAAAATCCAAGAGGTTTTTTAAGAATATCCATACTATTATTGTTTTCTATAAAAGAGTCTAACCATTTATATTTTTTTTTTAATCAGTCATATTTTTATTTTTAAAGTATTTTGCATTTAAAATTCAATTAACCTTAACCAATATCTATTAGATTTAGATTTAAAATGATTTTGAATTCTTAATTATTTAAAATAAAGAAAAATAAATAAAAATAAATTCTATGAATTTAGAATTATGGAAGCTAAAAAAATCATTAATTATGAAAAATTAACATTATAATTCAAATTATTGATTACTTTAGAATATACCTAAATGATCAAAAAAATATTATTAAAAGAATTATGAAATGTAGAATTTGAAGATGATATTTGAATTTTGCATACATTAGGGTAACTTCTTATTCCGTAAAGATTAATACTTTTGATTTTAAGATAGCTGAATCTATTAATAAAATATTTGCAGATTTATGGAGATTTTGATTGTATAAACATTAATTATCATTTTATCTTTTGTATCTGATAAAAAATAAATTTAGAAAGATTAATATTGAAAATAACTTAAATGATTTTGAATTATTAAAACATTATATAAAATGTTATCTTTAAATAAAAATATCTCATATAAATGCATCAGTTAAATTGAAGTTAAAAAAGCAGAAGAGAATTAAAAAATAAATAAATCCGAAAAATTATTAAGTATACTTATATTCAATTATTAGATTTATAGAATTATATTAAAATCTAAAAGTATATAAAACTTAGATTTGATTTTAAGTTTTCTAATTCAGAAATTTAATATAGATATAAATTTGAATTGAGATTATAATAAATATGATGATATAAATTTGATAGGACATTAGAAAAGGAAGAATTTAATCTAAATGATATCAAATATTCAAATAAAGAGAATGAATTACTTTTTATTAAATTATTAATAAAATGGTACTTAAGTATTATAATACTATATATTCCTGACTTTTTTTCCAGTTAAATTATAACATTTACCTTTTCTATAATACTTTACTTAAAAAACAATTAGAAGCAATATATTATTAATTGCTTTAAATAAAAATAAAAAAATTTTTTACTTAGAATCTATTCATGGAAAATTAAAACGAAAATCCAGTATAGACTGAAGAGCAAGGAGAAATTTCTGAAAAACTATAAAACTAAGAGTCATAATTAAATAATGAAGACAATGAAGTTATAACGAAAGCTTAAGAGTTGGAAGCAAAAAGTGAAAAAGAGAGAGATGATAATTCATAAAAAATTGATTAATAGTTCAATAATCAAACAATTGAGATTAGAAATCAAGAAGAAAATGAATAATAATAATAAATATAAAACCCAGTATTAATTGAAGAGGAGAACTTAAATATTTAAGAATATTTAGAGAAATAATTAGAAAGATATAGAAAAATAGAAGCTTAATGTGTATAATAAAAAGATAAGAGAGTTATTAAACGTATCATGTCTACTCTTGAAAGTTAACTAGAAAAATTGAAATTTAATATTATAGATCCAATAACGAATGATGTCAGCAACTTTGGTGGAATTAGTTTAATAAAAGAACTTGAATAGACAGAAGAGTCTTTCTTTTCATAATCTAAGATATAATCTCATCTAAAGGAAGTTTATAAATTCTATTCAAAAATATTCTATGTAAGAGGTCCATCAGATGATTTCACAAGAATAAATCATGAATCCTAAACATTAACAGAAGGTAAGTTTATGATCTTTTGTCGTCAATTTGGATTGATAGATGAGAAAATCCATCACATTAAAACATAATCAAGACATACCGAAACAAATAGAATATTAAATGATACATTTGCAACTAAGCCTAATAAAATTATTCCTACTTCAACTAGGAATCATCGTTAAGAAAATATGCGAATCTTATCTTTTAAAGAACTTGTATATTAATTTACTTTATATATTAGAATCTACTATTTAGGAGAGTTAATCAAAATTAAAATGAAATTACCTTTATAAATTTTGTCCTTTTATTGAAAGAACTCTCTAAACTTATGTATTAAGAAGATTTAACAAAAGCAGAGATTAAATTATTTTAATACATGGAAGTAGATTCAAATAAATTTAAAACAAAAATGAAATCTTTGAATATCCCATTTGAATCAAAAGATGCATAAGGATTTAGAAAACCTGAAGGATTATAATTATAAAAGTTTGTTAATTATTCAACTGATGAACTTAAATCTAGAAGAATATTAGTAGAAGAATGGAAAAATGTAAAAAAATAAGAATTAAGAGATAAAATAATATAATAAGTGGATAATTCAAGATCTAAATCAATATTTTTTGAACCATCTTATATTAAAACAAATAATTATAGGGAAAGAAAGTTAAAAAAGATTGGTTTAGATGCAAATTCTAATCAGGTTGTAAATTGGGAAAAATTGGATAAATTGGATCCTAAACTCTTATTACATGAAGAATTCAAACCTGAAGATTTAATAGAGGAAGATGAAGATGAAGATGATAAATATTATTTAAAAAGTTATGATTTATCAAGATAAAATAATGGGAGTGTTAAGAAGTATATATATTTATGATTATATTTTATAGGATTTCTTCATTAGATCAAAGATCATCAAAATATCAATTAAAAACTGAATCTACGAAAAGGTAAATCTAAAACATTTCAAAAATAGACCAAAAATTTGACAATAAATCTTCTTACCTAAAACTGCCTAGATTATAGAAGAAATGAGATTAAATATATATATTAATTTTTCTAAAATTTTATAATTATATAAATGATAATTGAAGAATAAATTGAAGAAAATTTAGGATAATTAAGACAATTAAACAGGTATTAAGATGCTGTGTGAATATTGTAATAAAATATTGGATATAAATTCAAATCATACAAATATTTAAGTTGTAAAAGTATATTCTTTTTAATTAATTTAAGTACAATGATTACATAAACTTAAAGAATATAATAAAAATTATTTTTCTGTTCCTATCAAAATCTTACTAGAATAATTTGATATATTGTGAATGTTCTCCTATTTAGATTCAAGAATTATGTTAAAATTCTGCTACTGGAATCAATATTATGAAATATGTGAAATAATTTAATAATATTAATATTAACAAATAGTTTCTAATTTATTTTGGACTTGTTAATGTTTTTATCTCAACTCAGTATTAACTAATGTATAGTACATATTATTAATTTCCGAAATATTAATTTACTCTCTAACATAAAGATGAATTTATTACATCAATTCATCTTTATGCTTTAATAACTATCACTCCATTTCTTCCAATTACAATTTTTTATAGTTTTATAAAAATAGTACAAAATAAGCTCAAATAAATATTCAATATTTTACGAAAATGTAAAAACATGATTTTTGGTCAAGATTATTTATTCAAATATCTATGATGAAAGTAGTATTTTAAATAGCAATCATTTATTTTTTTTCAACTCTTCAATTATATAAATTAACAAATTAATTCTCTTATGGAATATCTATTGATAATTTTATCAAATATTATTTTAGATTTTGTAAAATAGTTTTTTAAATTTAGATATAAAATATTAATAAAACAAAATATAAATCTAAAATAATAAGAGCTATAGCCTTAAAAGTAAAGCTCTTCTAAAATATTAATTGTTTAGGGTCTTTAGGTTTAAAAGAATACAATATTTTAAGCCAAATAAGCTCAGTTTATTTGAAGAATCGAATTTATAATCTCAAATTGATAAATATAAGTACTTTTTACAAATCATTTAATCATAGACTCATTTATTTATTTATAAAACAAAAATTAATTAAATTATAAAAATGATAGAATTATAATTATTAAATCATAATTTTTTGTAAAACAATTTTTCAAACTACAACTTAAGAGATCCAGTTTCGGTTATATTTCGAAAATTTTAATCAAAAATAGATGCACAAATTCTATCTTCATCCTCTAAGCTTTTCATTAAATTTTTAACAGCCTTTCTTGCCAAACTCCAACGAGTTGTCTTCCATAACCACCAACCTTCTCCATCATTCATTGAAGGACTTCCATCTATTGTTAGCATTATCATATATTTGCATCTTCTTAAATTTAGACTTAATTCTTTTTTTTAACTTACTGCAATTACTCCCACATCATTTTGAACAATCGCCCCTACAGCTGTAGTCACCTTCAAACCTAAACTAACTGAAATTCTATGAAATAAACTTTCTATTTCTGAACTTCTAACATCATAATATTCGCATTCTTTTGAAATATATGGTAACTATTCTTTTTTCATATCTATTCCAATAATAAGTGTTCTACAAATATCCTTTACTTTATTTAAGATAGCACTCAAATTTGAAATTGAAGTTGAGGAACTATTATCCTCTCCATCAGTTAAAACAATGTGTACAAATTTATATTAATCTAATTATTCGCAGTTTTTCAAAATAATCATCGCATTCAATATCTTTGTAAATCCAAACAGAATTGCATCTCTAACAGCTGTACCTTAACCTTTTTTTGGATTATAATTTTTCAATTCGGATATGGTAGATTCATTTTGTTTCAATTAAAATCCCATCTTATGCAATTAAACCATTGAACTTTTTACTTTTTCTTCTAAACTTTTCTAATTACCCATAATATAATTATGATAAATTTTGTAAATTCAAAAAATTTATATTTTTCTAATTCTATTACTACTATATAAAATAAAAATAGTAAAAAATATAGAATTAAATATCATCCCAAATTAAATAATCTTTTTTTCTAAACTTAATATACTAATAAGCTTTTGTAAATTAAACTACTCTTTATATTAATAAATGATTAAATTAATGATGAACTAAAATCAAAATTACTGAAAGTATTTTAAAATTAAATTAGATATAGAATTGGAAATTCGAATATTAAAAGAATTTATGGAATTTTTGTTTGTAATAGAAAGACAGTTTAATTTATTAAAATTTTTCATTTTCATCAATTTAAGCTTAACTAAAAGTTATCATGTTTAGTTTCTTAAAATCAAACATATAACAAGATTTTTTATATTTCAAAACACAAAAGTGTTGTCTTAATTTTCAAATTTGATAACGTCAATGAATTAATTATTTTAAATAGGTTCTACATTGAGATCTAACAAAAAAAAAAGTTTTATCCTCTAAGTTTATCAATTGTAAATAGTGAAGATGATTAATTCTAAAATAATTGTAAAGCTTTAATATTGATATGAAAAGTTACTGTATAACCTACCACAATAAGTAATAAAATTGAACTTAATGATAAAGAATATAGTCCATTATTAAGAACGGAAATCAGAATTTAAAGCTTGGTAAAATAATGTATTCTCAGTAATCTTTGCTTACTTATTTACATATGTACAATTATTCATATACCTATCTAATTGGCCATCTTTATTCAGTTTATTTGTTGGAATCAGTATACACAAATAAATAAAGCATATGAAAAATTTGGCAACATCATTTTTGATTTTACAAAAAAAAATTGAAATTTATATATAAATATGGATAAATTATATAATTCTTTGGCTCCGAAATTCAAAGGGATAGCAAACTCTTACAAAAATTTGGCCTCTCAGACCAAACAAATTGCTTCAAATACTATAGATAAATTAAGCAAGCAAACAATTTAAGGAGACATAGTAGCAATAAGCAATAGATTATATTGGATGGAATATCCATCTAATGATAAAATAGAAAAACTATCGAGCTATTTAAACACTAATCATTAGAATCATTACTATATTTGGAATGTTGGAGAAAGAGATTTTACAACGGAATGGTTTTGCAATTAAGTAGAGTGAAAAAGTAAGTAGGTTGCCAATCATTCACATCCAGGATATCCATGTCCACCATTGATCGAGCTATTGATGATTTGCAAAAACATAATCTATTTTCTAAGTAGTGATAAGAACAATATAGCAATTGTTTGTTGCCAAGAAACAAGAGGTAGAAGTATCATGGTGATATCATCATTGTTGGCTATTATGGGTGCTGGTTATGTAATAAAATATATTATTAAATGTTAGCCAGGAGAATGTTTATTAAGAGTATGTGAAAAAACAAACACCAAAGACTTTTAGGCTTTATTTCCATCTTAACATTAATATATTACATATGTTGGGAATGTTTTAAATGGTCTGAAATTAAATAGTTCTTGTTTAAGATTAATATCTATTGTTATATCTGGTATTCCAAAAGTCTAAAATTGTACTATGTTTAGACCATACATTCAATTGTTTAAGAATGATAAACCAATATTCAATTCTTTGACTGATGGTGAATTAAAAAATTATTAATAAGGAGATTTGAGTTGCATATTTGATCTTAAAGGAATTGAAGTAAAACTATTATCAATTTCTTATAGCTTTCAGATGATATTTTAGTTAGATGCAAACATTTTGAAAATAACAAAACTAGAGTGGCTCTATTTAGAGTTATGTTTAATTGCTCATTTTTATTTGATAATGTTCTTAGAATATGGGATAGAGAATTAGATAAAAGTCCATAGATGAAAACAGAAAAAGATTTTTTTGTTGATTTCATTTTTGAAAGAGGAAATTAAAAATCATTCTAAACTGCAGATAGACCTTAAACTTTTAGTAATGAAACTAAGTCATCTAATTAATTATTATTATAAATTGTATAAGAATGTAAAGGATTAGTTGTAAAAGAAAAGCACATTATTGATGGATTGGAAGTATATTAATAATAATAAAAAACAAAAGAAGAAGTATTTAGTTTGGGAAATGAAATAGAGAAAAAAGATAATGAAGATTCAGATGAAAAATTACCATAATAAAAATAATAATCAAATAATATTCAACCATAATAATTATTTATAGAATAATGTAAAAATCAATCATAATAATAATTAGAATAGTAATCATCACCAAAATAATAATAAAATTAAATATAATAAGAATAAAAAGATATCATCATAAATTAATAATAAATTATATAAAAAGATAATGGATCTGATGAAAGTGATGATGATGATGAATAATTAGTTGCTAAATTTGAACAAAAGATATAAACAAAAACAGGAGATAGTGATGAAGATTGTGATGATTTCTTAGATAATTTAATTAAATAAGGAGATAAACAAGAATGAACATAAAATTAGTTATTCAAAATTGATAATATTATTAATATATTATTAATGTAAATATTGCATTTGTTTCTAATAGTTGCAGTACTAAGTTGTGATATTGATGAAGCTGCAAAAGCCTTCAAATCTAAATAAATTAGAGATCCCATATTTCCATATACTAAAAATCCTTATGATATTGTTGATCCCAATTATTTATAAAAAGTGACAGATAACTTATAAGATACAACTAGTGTTTGCGCTATTAAATATGATGACTATGAAAAATAAATGTAATGAATCCATAATTTTTAGATATCATTTAAAACATTTTAATTCAAAAGAAGAAGCTGAATAAAATTAATTTATTGTGACTCATTAAGGAAAATGTGGTGCATGTTCTACTTTGTAAGATTTAGCTGTTTATCTTACAAATGATTTGACTAGACCAGTGAGAAAATGTGGTTTAATGTATGGATTGTCTTAACATCATCTTTTAAAATGTATCAAAGGATTAGGATTCACTGATACATGTGCTTAAGTTTGGTTGTACAATACTTTAAATACTAAAAAATCATGTTTTTGGCCTTGTATGTAATAAATTTATCCTAATTCTTAAAGTGTGTCTTTTATGACAAATGAAGATTTTGTGAAAAATGGAAAGTTAAATAAATGTTTATAATGTGATGAAGATATCTCTGGACCTATATTTAAATATGAATCTGGTAGAACTAGAAGAAATTCAGGCATTAAATCAGAAATTGATAGACCAGATGACTAAATTTATGACATCACCCATTGTTATTATTGAATGCAATAACACAATTAATAATATTAATAATTATCTTTATAATCATACTTCTGGAACAAACTCTCCTAATCCTACAATTTTAGCTAAGTATTTTCCATATTTTGTTAAAAAAGTTGATAATTTAGGTGTATGTGATTCTATTTTAATAGCACATAAATCTGAAATAGTGAAATAAACAAATCCATTATCTGCAGCTGCCTAAGTAATTGATGATTAAATACTTCCATAATAGCATTGACTTATTTTGTACGATTTATAGGTAATTATAATTCTTCTTAGGCTAATGTTTAAAATTCTTCTCCAAAGATCATCTAATTCTTGATAACTTATGGTAATTCATCAGTTGATCTAAATCTTAAATCCATATCTACATTCTTAAAATGTTTTAGGAATGCCAAAGGAGGAGATTCTAATGCTTCTTTATCAATTCCTCCAACAAATTTTTCTATTCCTTAATAAAAGTTCTTTTCCAAAAATAAATTCAATTCAGCTTTTTTTTAATTAATATTGTTTACCTAATTTATCTCAAAAAGGCTGCTCCAACTCTCTCTCCTTTAGAAACAGCTTCTACTAATTATTAAAAATCATAATTTGCATCAAATTCAATGTTTAAATAATTATCTTAATTCTTTACTATTTCTCTTAATCCTTTAATTTACTAAAAATTAATTACCATTTTCTAAAATCACCTCAAGACTTCCTTTTAATTTACTTTCTTCATCTTCTTTAAGTTTAACAGAAAAATAAATATAGGTTTCATCTGAATGGATTTTACATTCAAATGCCTCAAAACGAGCTAATGATTTTAATATAACTTTTTTTTTACGTCTATCCTTTATTTTTGTAATGGATTCAATCAAAGCTTCCTTTTTACCAGGTTAATATCTTAGAAAACAAACTAGTGACCAATCAATATTAATTTAATCTCCAACTATATTCTTGAGCTTATCAAATTATTCCATTGCCTTTTTCTCATTAAAATGAATTTCAGCTCTCAATTAGATACAAGAATTATTACCTAAATGAAACTAGACCTTTTTCAAAATCATCTCCAAATGCCACTCCAATTCGAGATTACTCATAATCAGATTATTATGGATTATCTTTTTTAACTTAACTCATAATAATTATAAACAAAAAAATCACAATTTTTTTTATGTTAATAAACCCATTGATTTATTTAAGTATCGTTTAGGTGATAATAATAGTAAGGCTGCCTAACATGTTTCTATTGAATCTTTTTACATCTTTAATATTAGATTCCCTAAAAAACCTATAATAAAAAAACCAGCCACACCTACACTTAAAGTAAATATTAATAATGTTTGTTTGTAGAAATTTAAAGATTGATCAAATTGTTTGTAAGCCGTATCAATAATCTACTTCTATGCTTTAATTAATAATTCACTTCCATAATCTATATATATTAAATGTTCTTAGCTTTAATAAAATTCGAAAAGAGTATCCTATGAATTTTTTACATTTTGATCATCAAAAAATTAAGGATATTATGATATGATTTTGTCTACTTAAGTCATTAAAGATTTCAATCCTTATTAATAATATGGTAATAACCAAGGATTTAAGATTATAGCATCAGTTGATTAACAATCAATACCAATTCCAATCTCACAAATATTATTTTAATTCATAGTATCAAGATTAAATTTTAAATTATCATCTATAAATGCTGAAATGAATTCATTTGAGTATTATTAAAA